ACAGTATGTGCCATTGGAGAGCTCCTTTAAACGTTCAGTTCTTTTTCTTTTCTTTCTTTCTTCCTTCCTTCCTTCCTTCCTTCCTTTCTTTCTTTCTTTCTTTCTTCCTTCCTTCCTTCCTTCCTTTCTTTCTTTCTTTCTTTCTTTCTTTCTTTCTTTCTTTCTTTCTTTCTTTCTTTCTTTCTTTCTTCAAGACAGGAATTCTCTATGTATACTTGCTGTCCTAGACTTGCTTTGCAGACCAGGCTGGCCTCGAACTTACAGAGATCTGGCTGGCTCTGCCTCCCAGAGTGCTGGGATTAAAGATATGAGCCACCGTGCAGAACTGACATTCAGTTTCTTTAGCATTGGGTGCCTATTCCAAACAGATCGGAATATTCATGGGGCTTTTTAGAGCCATGCAACTAACAACAGCCACTGTGTACTCTGCAAGCTTTTTGTGGACTGTGTATACAGAACTCCTACCCACAATTTGCTCCTGAATAGTTTTAAAACTGATTGGGACCAAGATTCACTACTGGAAAATCATATTCTTGAGGATTTCCACTATTAAACTATTACAGCTTTTATTCTGAAGTGTCAAAGATTCCTAAATATGTAAAGAGTTGAATGGCTGAGAGTCCTGCAGTCAGATAATCTATCTTGGGGCTCAACAACTCTTGACACCTGGATACTTTTTTCTTTTCTTTTTTCTTTTTTTAAAAAGGTACTTTACAGGAACAAGTCAGGAGCCTGACACAGAGGACCTCTGAAAGGCTCTGCCCTGCAAACTATCAACACAGATGCTGAGACTTATGGGCAAACTTTGGGCAGAGTTCAGGGAATCTTATGAAAGAAGTGGGAAACAGTAAGATCTGGAGAGGACAGGAAGTCCACAAGGAGAGCAACAGAACCAAAAAATCTGAGCACAGGGGTCTTTCCTGAGACTCATACTTCAACCAAGGACTATGCATGGAGATAACCTAAGACCCCTGCACAGATGTAGCCCATGGCAGTTCAGTATCCAAGTGGGTTCCATTGTAATAGGAACAGGGACCATCTCTGACATGAACTGATTGGCCTGCTCTTTAATTACCTCCCCCTGAGGGGGAAGCAGCATTACCAGGCCAAAGAAGAAGACAGTGCAGCCACTCCTGATGAGACCTAATTGACTAGGCTCAGAAGGAAGGAAAAGAAGATCAGTGGACTTGGGGAGGGGCATGCATGCAGAGGGTGGAGGAAGGGAAGGATTGGGACTGGAGGAGGGAGGGAACCACAGGAGGTATACAAAGTGAATAAAGTGTAATTAATAAAGAATTTTAAAAAAAGGTGCTTTATAGTTTCAACATCTAGGAAAGATAATATAAACTTGCAGATACTGTGTTTAATGTATTTTCACAAAACAAATAAAAAATGTTTAGTTTTTTAAAAATCCCTTCTCAGAATAAATGCTAATAGAACAGTTTATGAAATTATATAAACATAAAATATAATCAGTCATCTTACATATACAGTCTAGTGCCTGCTATTAATTAGCATACCACCCTTTAATGGATTTGTACATTACCTCTTAAATAATCAAGAGAAAAAAACATAGGGGCATCTATAAATTATTGTGGATTTTTATAACACAGAAGATAAATTTAATACATATTTGTGTCTCATTTTTCTAATTATAAATACTTTATTGCTTACCAATTTTAATTAAGTTAAGTAATCCAGTTAAAACATGATTAATAGTAATAAAATAAATTCAGAGCACTGACATTGAAAGGCTTACTTTTATATTTCTGGTGCAACGTTTCTTTTAAGATAAACGATATATATTTTTAAAAACATAAATTTTGCTAACATGTGTTCTCTTAGACACAAGTTTGATACTATTCCACTGTACTTAAATAGGACAGCCTAAGGCAAAAAGTCTTTTAGTAAATTCTTTGTCCACTTCCAGTGGCCAAAGAGCAGATTCAAATAACTTAAAGTAGTTGTCTTTTTTATAGTTTATCAGTTTCAATGCCTAAGTCTCATTATTTTATTTTATTTAAAAAAAAATAAGATACTTTTTTCAAAGGAAACACAAAGCAGGAAGTTGGGTCTTAACTTCTTGGGATTGGCTCTCAGCTCTAGATATCTAGTTAACTTATAAGAGCATTGGAGAGAGGCAGCACAATCACCACTGGGCAAATCCAGTCCTCTCCCTGTCTGCCAAATGCCAACATTTATAAATGTATCAAGGGGAAAAATATCATAAGAGTAATGTTGTGAGAAAGGTGGAAAGGACATGACAATCAAATTTCAGCTTTACTCCATAAAGCTGTCCTCTAACACAGCCATCATTCATATGAACAGGATCTTCTGTTGCAGCTTTTGGGGTACCATGGTAGCATACAGTAGCTGCAGAGAGGCCATCTGAGACCCCCAAGCCAGAACTATTTATTGTTTAGAGAAAGAGGTTTGTTAACCTCTGAAGTACAACATTTGGATCATTATGATTCCAGTTACAGTACAAAAGTCCACTGTTGTTTAATAGAAAAACAAAACAGCCGCATTCCTTTGTAAGTGGTGGCATTGCTGTTTAGGTCACAGATTATTTTATTTGGGGGAAGAGGAATCCTAGGGATCCAGCCCGGGACTAGGCTAGTCCTCTACCACTGAGCAACAGCCTGTGGTTGTTGCCTTTTTAACAAGAGTAGAGATCTTTAAAAGTTTTAACTGCTATGGAAAGAGATGGCCACACAAACTACCCTGAGTCTACTCTGGCCTGGCCTCTAGGTGCATCTATTTTCCCACTAGCCTTCTAGTTTTCTACTGCCTAAGCTTCAGGAAAGAGGATATAGCATAGTGAGAGCCAGCAACTTCTAGAAACATCTCCCTACAGACTGGAGAAAATGTCAATATCCAAATCAAAGTTTTCAAGTAAGAGGAACCCGACTCCCTCTTAGTACTCAAGCAAAATTTGCTGTTTCTGTTAGCACAGAAATTAACCACCATTTTTTTAAGCAGGGGTAGTCAAATGAACCCCAACCTTTTAGACAATAACTTTGCTGTGATAAGGACTAAGGCAACACAAAGGATTAAAGGTCACTGTTGTTCATGGGGGCTCTTACGGTAAGGAGATAAATGTCATCCCTGATGAAATCCTAGTGCTTTGAAAAGATTTTGTAGAGCAGTTTCCATTTTGCAAGTAGTAGCACCGGCATAAAGATAGTAGCAGGTGTGGGATGGCCATGTGAATGGCAGAGAAGAGGAGGGGGCAGGCAGGGGGAAGGCAAGAAGAAAACGAGAGATTAGTGTCAACATTACTGAGCTGGCCTTCTTCCTTTCTTGGTTTCAATTTATTTTTAATCAAAGGTATATGAAATAATTCTGCTGTTTATGCTATTTGACAACCAGCTGAGTATAAACTGTGTGTATCTTTCCTATAAGTAGTCATATATGATTGAAAACTTGTCCTTCCTTGCTAAGTGCTCCCTACAGGATTCTACTCTGTGATCTTATGATGGGAATACTGGCAGGAAGTGCTACTATCTTCAAAATAGAAATTGATCTGCAAAATATCTTCAAAACACTGAAATTTCATCAGGGATGACATTTCTGTCTTTACTGTAAAAGTCCCCATGAAAAACAGTGACCTTTAATCCATTGTGTTGTCTTAGTCCTCATCATAGCAAAATTATTATCCAAAAGGTTGGGGTTCATTTTTTCCCTTTCACTAGGGATGCTATATCATCTGGAAAAGACATGTAAGAATCAATTACTCAGTTAATGTCAGCTAATGGATGTTGAATAAATACCTGTCATAGTATTATGATAAATGCTATGGCAGACTCTGGAAATGATTAAATATGATCTTTAGCTTTCAGAGTTTTGTAATCAAGAATGAAGACAGAGTAGGGGTGTTGGATGAAAAGGAAGTGTGTGTGTATGTGTGTGTGCGTGTGTGAGTGTGTGTAATCACAGCTTCATTGAGGCCAGACTATGATAGGTATGAACACAGGATTTCTTATGACTTGAAAACTGAATGTAGGAATGCGATATGTGTTCAATATTTTAGAGACAGAGTTGCAAGTCTTTTCCTGTGATACCCATTCTGATATGCTAAGATATAAATGAAATCTGTCTCCTAGAGTAGAAGGGAGAAGCTGGTGAGTTTATCAAAGGAAGAATCAATGAAGATAAAGGGTCAAAAACAAACATCCTAGCAAAAGGGGTCAGAAAAAATCATAAATACTGGCATTTACAGGCAATAATTTCAAGGCATGGAAGTGAGAATTTTCTGAGGCACTAAGTTTAAAGTGGTAGATAGATGTACAATTGCAGCAACCCCTAAGGCTATAATAAACCCTATAAACAGTTTAATTAGCCAAGAAAATGGAAAGTACAGATTTGTCACTGAAGTGGTCCAGAAATTGATGACAAAACCTTGGCAGCCCTTATATTTGTCAAGGAGGTGGGATGTGAACATTTGAAAAACAAGCAATGAGTTTACTTCATATAAACTAGTATAAAAGAACACTTCAAGAGAATAGTCAACAAGGAAACATACATATATGTTCACGCATGCAGCTAAAGAAAGGGAATGACCAAGGCAGGAGCCCAAAGAGCCACTAGGCTCATTCACATATATAGCTGTAGTTAGTGTTGGGATACAAACCAGACTGCCACAGGCCTACCTTTGTGTAACTTTCTACCATTATTTTATTGCTGTCTTCTAAAGTTTATTTTAGGGGCTGTTGAGATGGCTTAGCAGGTAAGGGCACTTAATATTATGCAGATGACCTTGGTTTGGTTCCCAGCACCTATGTGGCAGCTCATAACGGCCTATAACTAATGTTCCATTAGATCAGACATCTTCTTCTGGCCTGTTTAGGGCACCAGCATCCATGTTGACTACTCGAGTGAAAGTGGGCATAGACATATACATGGAAATAAATAAAACCTTTTAACTTCATTTGACTCCTTTACAGTGATCATTTGTTCCATCATTCCCATTCATTTTTCTTTTGTCAAATTTTACCTAGGAATTTATCGTATTTTGCTACACAAAGTAGCCCCTCTGCTGTCATATTGAACCTCTGGGAAGCTCGTCATCAACAGGACGGGGACCTTGACTCACTCGCCTGTGCCCTTGAAGAGATTGGGAGGACACACACGAAACTGTCGAACATCACAGAGTCCCAGCTTGATGAAGCTGACTTCAACTACAGCAGGCAAAATGGACTCTAGTCTATTCCCTCTCTTGAGGCAGCACCGGTGATAGCCAGCTTCGGGGCAGTGGCTTCAAGTGGGGAAGAAGAGGCAGATTTCTGCTGAGGGGCATTTGAGGAAATCAGCCTTTATTGAGAGCCAGTGAGAATCCCTGGTTGAAGAAAATGAGTTTAATGTAGGTAAAACATGCCAATAGCAGAGAACAAAACAAAACAAAAGACCCTGCTGTCTCCTCTGAGTCCACATCGGTAAACCTTGGATATGCTCCTCAGATGTGGACTGCTGAGGGAAAGAGTGAAGGTTACTGTAGATAAAAGTAGTTCTGAAGAATAGACACACTATGACAATGCTGGGAAGGCAGAGATTAAGTGCACGTCTGGAAATAGGTTTTTAAAGACTTACCCCACAAGGCTAGCTGATTCTGAGACCAGAATTTCAGTTTCTAACCAACTGGCATCCAGGATATTGAAAATCATGGTAAAACTAGCTTTCAGAAGTGAAATAAGATTGCCAAACTCTTAGTGATATCACCAATGCCAGGGAGGACATTTAGAATTTAGAGTCTGAGTACATCACACCAGCACTTATTATATGAGTCACTTAATGGAAACCAGATCAAAAAGCGAGATAGACCTCAAACTAGCTCTTGGTACCTCACCTTCATTTATTCTTTTTCCTCCCAGAGACAAAACTCATTTCTCTCCCCATCCTGACAGGTTGCAGTATGGAGGTAGTAAAGAAAAGGCTTATACATTTAAATATGGAAACATATTCCTCCTAACTCAACAGATTAGAACAACCTCTGTTCCCAGCCAAGCCATTCAAATCTCTGAGTGTAGTTAGAATACAGCTTACCCCATGGAATGGAGATAGGAGAGGCTAGACAGGTCCAGGAAAATATGCATACTACAGATGTCCCAGGCTTCAAGAAATCTCTGATTGTAAGAGATGGGTAATTAACCCAAGTTCTCCAACATTTTTTCCATAAGAAATGTGTTTTACTGTGTTTTGTTTTTTTTTTTTTTTTGTTTTTGTTTTTTTTTTTTTTCATCCAGATTCTGGAAATCTTCTAACCTTTTGTACTATGCTGTCACAGTAGGTCACAAGAGGGCTTTAGATTTTCACCTTTTGGAAACTTACCTGATAGCCTTTCTGAATTAACACCGAGAAAATGATTGCATTCAAGGAATAGAACCCTATCACACACATCATACAGAGAGCCTTCATGCTCTGACTGACTGGCCTCACCTTGTACACTTTCTCCTTAGAACTATTAACTTATTGCTCTCATTTTGTGTCACATATATATATGTGTATATATACATATATATATATATATGTTCAGTGGTATTATAGAGAATTGAAATCTGTAGATGACTTGTGAGTTTCATCTTATGCTTACTACACTTTTGTATTTGATTATATAATTTTGACCAATATCTTGGGAAACTGAAGATGAAAAGATATACTCATCTGCTGGACAATGTTTTCAGTAACTATCTACAATGAGAACAACCCAAGTCAAACACCTACATTAACTTCTAGGCAGCTACCTAGTTACTTTGGAGCTGACTACATTTGTAAAAGAATGGTCAGAAGTAGGAGAAGTGAGAATTCTTGGTAATGAGGACATGATCATGCTTTTGTTTCTATAAGTCCTTTGAGTGAAAACAAATGTTTCAGCCTCTTCCCAAGTGGGAAAAACCTAAAGACAAGTTGAAGTTATGATTCCACAGATAAGGCATTGCAGAACTCTTGAATGTGTTAGCCATTTTATCTAAATAGTGTGTGATATATCTGATCCCTTATATTACATAAACAACTTTGCTGTGTGCAAATCTAAAGAAACGAGGTTGCTTCACTTGTGACCCAGAGGCTTATTCTATTGAACAAATGAGTCATCTTAGAACTGTCAAACTTACTCAGCATCCCATATCTGAATCAGGAGAGCACCCTTTCCCTAATAGTCTCAACTTACTTATTCATCCTTGTGAAGAAAAATGAGAAAAAGCATAAAAAGGTAAAACCGTTTGTCATCACTGATAGAGTTTTAACAAAAAGAGATTGGAAATAGATGATGAATCACAAGCAGATAGATGATGAGTGGCAGGATCAGATGCAGACAAAAATCTGCATCCCCTGTTAGGCGATAAACTATTTGCAACACATTCTAGAGAGATCTTCTACTAATGTCCATTTGGAAGATTTTTGTTTAAAATTTCCTATTCTTATATATTTCTCTTCTTTCCCTTCCAATTGGCCTTATAATTGTTTATCTGTTGTGTGAAACTACACATGTTCTTTGTAGATTTTTGAAACTTTTTTATACTGCTATAAACAGATAAAATTGTAAGTGATTTTCCTGGCATCCATGTAGGTTATATTAAGATGAAGTACCATGATCAACATAAATGTTGATTCTAGTGTCTGCGGTTTCCCCACTGGCTTCATGTTTTGTGTTTTGTTTGTTGGGTTTTCTGGCCTGTGTTTATAAGTGCGCTTGAGCATAATATCATATGCAGTAACAAGGGAGATGTTAGCAAGATCCACGTCACATCCCAGCCCGTGGTTCAGTGAGGTCCACTGGACGTTTTATGTTTCCTTCTTTATATCTGTCTTATTTCTGCTAGGATGCTATACAGGATTTTGAAATAAATATGTTACATTCTGCAGTCTTTGACTGCCAGGGTTGTGTAATATTTTACAATGAAATTTCAAAGAGAACCCTGGTCTGTGAGATTTACAGACCAAGGGGCTTACGGACGAATGTGTGTTGGGGGAGGGTCTGCAGGTCACAAAGTCGTAGCTGACGCTTGGAAGTGTGGTGATTCACTGTGACCTCAAGCTTTTCCATTACCTTCACCTGTCACAAAACACACGTTCCCCTTGGAAGAGGCTAACTCATTATTCCAGGCACTAAATTTGGAAGTGTCAATATCCTAGTACAAGATGAAGCAAAAATTAAAAATGGCCTTAAACACTTAGTAGGTTATGAAAAATTTTACAAAATATCCTACTTAATGCCAAATTTCTCAGTGCTCAGAGACATTAAGTCTAAGAGTTATACATTAAACATGAATTAAAATTATGCCACCAAAATGGTGCGATCCACAGCTTTGCCAGACTACAGCATCATAAAGTTAATTTATTATCTTTACAACATCAAACGTACAGTCTTAGCAGTTTACACTGACATTCTTTAAGCCAAAAGGAAACTTGTTCTGTGGATTTAAATGCAAACTTCATTTACCAGTGCAGGAAGACTCATAAAACTCAGATGTACTCTCACAAAAATTTTATTGGCCTTTTTGTAAGAGATGAAAGGAATTGATATAGCTCCCTTTAAAGGGAGGAACTGTTCTCTTATTTTTTTATTATTTTTATCTCAAACTGCTGTGGTCCTGGTATTATTTTTCTTCCATTTGGCTAGGACAAGGACTATTAAGTCAAATCACACAGGGTTCTCTTTGGAGTAAAGTATCTGGATTTAGTGCAGTGATTTCTTTTCCTCAACAAAACCTCTAAACATCAAGCATGTGAAGCAAAAGTACAAAATTAAAATGGTGTGAATGGTTTTACACACTTTCACCGAATTTACCTGTGACTTTCAGAATGTTAACAAAATCTTTGGATATGCTTCTATTTTACTTTTTCCTGTTAGATGTTTTCACTCTTTCGGTCTGTCTGGCCTCTGTAAATGTGTTGAATGATAGAGCTATCAGGCATGCTAAAGGCAACATTCTCTGAAGTCTTCATTCCAGCAGCAATGAGGAAGGAGTTGAGAAACGTGCCTCTCTGGCCCACTGCGCGGCCCATTTCCATTCTGTCTCTCATGAAGCATAGCAAAACGTGAACCCTTATTAACTCCCAAAGCCTGGACTACAGGTGACAGCCACAGCACCTGCAAGAACAAAAATGTGGGCTTACCAATGGTGACAACATTTTATTAGCCCTTTGGTGTTCATTGTCATAGCACTGTATTTGAACATTGATGCTTTTTGCCAACCGTTGAATGGCCACCGTTTCCGTAGTTGCCACTGTTTCGTCCGCATAGAATTTTCCTGAACTACAAGCAAAAGCGTATTTTGTCAAATGTCACAAAAGTGAAAATGTTACTAACCTTAGACGTGTTGCATATTTTGTGTTTTTCTTTTCCAAACTCTTTCAAAAGCTGCAGTGACAAAGCTGTTTGGCTGTATTGACAGCATGTGGTGTCTTTTGCAGAAGCAACTCTAGGAGAGCCAGTGTCTACTGTGGACTCTTCACATCCCCACTACAGGGTCACCCACAAAACTGAAATGGCAATTTGTAAACTGTCATTTTTCTCTAAAGATCAACGGGGATGAAAGGCACTAGGCCTGGCTATTAGTCACTAGTGTGTAGTGCTGTGATATGAATAGGAAGTTTATCTCGCATAGAATAATTGTGGTTTTTTTGAAGCAGCTACTCATTGCTTTTTCCTTTTGCTGTGAAGATCATGGATTTGGGGTGTCCTCAAAAAGTGGGCCTAAGACAGTAACATTGTAACTTCATGTCTTCAAACTTACACATCTGAACCCAAAGATAAAAAAAGACAGGAAGAAACCTAGTGAGGCCTGAGCTTAAATTCTCCCTGCCCTACCCAGCATTAAGTTCAGAAGGAGTTGTATGTTTTTTCCCATGAAGTTACTCCTTTTGATTCTATTATATATCATTGAATCTTTATATCATATATCAGTGCATTTCTTTGCCTGAGTGAAAATATGTATCAAATACTTTCACCAAAGGCGTGAATGGATATAATGAATATACCCTTTGTCTTAAATCTGGCTAACTCTTAAAACAATGAATTCACCTAATTCAACCATGATTCACACCTAAATTCCAGAATTATGAACAGTGTAAAATAACCTTTAAATCTGAGACATTTCTAGTGAGCTAGAGCTCACTAGAGCTTACTAGGGTTCTGGTGGAAGTGTGATATTTAAAGGGAACATGTAAGCCAAATATGCCACAAGAATCCTTTTTCAAAACACAGGCATTCCACTCGAATGTGGAGGCAGCAATCCTAATATTCCTTCATGAGCAAGCATGGAAAGTGGTAAGAGGGAGAGTCACCAGGACACAGCCTTCAGAGGCTCCTGGCAGAAAAGCTGAGAACAGAAAACCCCAAATGGTACCTCCTAGATGCTTCCTAATTCCTTAAAATCTTCTCAATAAAGGGGGGAATACCCAAGTGTCAGAATACCCCAGACAGAAAAACAGCTGTCTCCATCTCTACACTAGATGAAGAATAGAATTTCCATTCTTCATAGTAAGGTCTGATTGATACACACACTCCAATAAATTGTGGCCTAGGTCTGTTGTAAACAGGGGCAGGTAGAAGAATGCTGGCTCATTTTCCTCGCCCAAACTTGGAAACATAGGTGATATTTTTCCCTCTTTCTATATAGAAGAATTTAAAACATATTCAATTTTTTTCTCTTTATTTTGGGAACATACATGGGGGTGTTCTTTCAAATGCTTCATTTTTTTTCAAACCCATACCACTCTCAATGTTCATTTGATGTATTCAAAGCCAAAAAAATAAGAACTAATATTTAAAGCAGAGCTGAACACTAACTCGGACATGAAGCTGAAGGAGTGAGCAAGCCAGAGGAGAGGGTCTAAGCAAAGCATGGCCTTGGCTTCATACCACACTTTTTGTGCCTTGTATTATCAGTGTAAATTCTGAATGTTGTACAGTAAATACTTGGATGGACTCCTTAGCAAGGATGCACCGGCTTCTTTTTCAGCACATGTACATATCTATAAATATATATACATATATATTTGGTAATGCCAAACAGCTATGTTATATTGTACTGAACAAAAATGGCCCGTTTGGATGTTTTATGTAGAGTTTGCAAAAAAAAAAAAAAAATGGATGGTTATCGACTTTTCAAGATAAATGTACAGGCATAAATTACTGCTTACCAGTTATTTATGAATAAAGAGTCTTTTATTGACATTTTAGGATGTGCTCCATGAGTG